AATTTCTCTCCATTCCGATAACTATACTTTCCATATCTGTTCAAAAACTGGAGTTACTAATAACTCATCGGTACTTTGAAAAGTCCTCCAGGCCATCCTAGTGTACAGGGGCTTGTCGTTGTGTGCAGTAAAATAACAATGTTGGAACTCATAATAAATTGTAACAATACAACACTAGTATCTAACTAGGAAACCTAACGGCTTATTTAGATGGCAGGCATTCCCTTACCTGTAATGTACTTTTAGTTTTTATTAATGATATTGTATCTAACTGACCGGTAGACTAAAACCACCTTATGTAACTAACCATAATTGTTATATTTTTAGGCTTTCACTCAACTAAACAGGGACTGCCATTGGTTGATTCTTGGTCATATAGCCTTGACTAAAATCAAATGTATCCCGATCGTGATACATTAAGCAATGTTCCCCTTCCCCGCTCGGGACACATTAGAGCACGTGATCAACGCATGGTGGAAAGCGGCGAGCCAGAGGCTGTAAAAACACTGCCAGTTTTCTTTTTCGTGAATGAACACAACAACACACACACGAAGCCTCACCTAAAAAGCAACGATTTTTAAAGTTATCCCAGAAGAGAAACAGCAACCCGGTGGAGGAAAAAGATGCCAATAATAGAACGAAAGTGCTTTGTAAATCATTCATTCAGTGGTTTTGAGAATTAAATTTGTGTTGTTATAAGTACCGAGTCGACTGTTTTGGTTCGCTCCGGTTATTCTTTTGTTGTTGTTGAAGTCTAGAGATATAACAAAACACTTAATTTCAGGTCCCTCGGGAAACCAGTTAGTTCTGTTTTCCCTTAGACTACGAGCAGTCTCTCTTTTTCCTTGGTCCGTCGAGCAAAACGCCCGAGACACGTAAATGACCACGCGCGTCATACTAAATCTGAGGATAAAGAGAGACTTCTCGCAGTCTAGATTTCCCTCGAGTCCTGATGTTTCCCGAGACGAAGTCGAGGGAAACATCAGGACTCTCGGGAAAAATGACAAACTGTTTCCCTTGGGATCTGACATTAAGTGCATATTATTCTAAAGCGAAATGTAAATAAAGCTTGTTGTTGTTGTTATTAACCCGCGCTCCGATTAATGAGCAAGTCGTTAATAATATGGATCTTCTTTAGTTTTCATATCTGTTTTCCCTAGATTAAATGGACAAGGAACGCCCACTACAATACATACACCACGCAGCTTACTTTTGCCCTCTCAGCTCTCTCCATATGGGTCAGAACCTGCTTCTTGTCCTAGGATAATTAAACAAAATTGTTATTCATTCAAAATAATTCGTCGTTTTTGATTGGCCTTAATCTCCCGGAAAATTCTTCATAACCAAGCTGGCGGTGGCTATATTTAGAGGATGTGAGCAAATATACCATCGATGCGATGGTATATTGCCTCAATAGACCTCATTATTATTCATTCAAAATAATTCGTCGTTTTTGATTGGCCTTAATCTCCCGGAAAATTCTTCATAACCAAGCTGGCGGTGGCTATATTTAGAGGATGCGAGCAAATATACCATCGCATATATTGCCTCAATATACCTCATTATTATTTATTCAAATATTTCGCCGTTTCTGATTACAGACCTTTAGCATCAGGCTTTTCATGGAAAACCGCACACCACAAAATATCATGTGACTCCGGTCCTGCGGTCGCGTTTGCAGTTTTTAGTTCACGTTTGAACGGCGGGAAGGGCTTTCGGCGGTAAGCGACTTACGGCAAAGTTTTTTGCCACTAAAAATTTTACAGCCTGGTGTTTAAAGGCACGAAGTAGCTTTTTGTATCTGTCTGTGATGTGTTGGTTGGATTTTTGAACTCGAATCAATGAATTATTCCCGTGTTTTAGGCGAAAAAAGTGATGCGGCTTCCACTTGATAAAAAACAACATGGCGGCACTAAACAATTAACGCCTTGCTAAAATTTGAAACCTGGCAACGTGAAACTGCTAACGCCTAACTGCAAACTGCAGTTTGTGGTTTCGTATGAAAAACCTGATGCTAATGGTCTTTAAAAGCTCCAATTCCCCGTCTTATTCTTTATAACCGACTGGCGCTTACCATATTTGGAAGATGTTGGCAATCTACCAGCGATTTGATGGATGACCGCGACAATCTCTTGCATAGCCAGCTTTTGACATTTCTTTTACCCCCCTGAGAAACCACGTAACATTGCTTGGTGGGGAAAGAATAATATTGTGGAGAGGGAGGTTTTCTCTAGTTTTCTCGCGAGCTTTGAATAGTCACGTGTTTCAATTAATCCTTCTTAAGCTTTTTTCATTGTTTTATGTTTTTATAATAATATGTCAAGACTGTTCCTTGGGTCTAGCTGTAGAGCCAATTCCTATGCGAATGTGGGCTTGTGAACTCGCATAATTAACCGACTAACGGCGCGTGAAACACTGAGACTTCAATAGTTAGTGGTTTCCTTGAGATAGAAAGGAGAAAACAGTTTTGTAATAGTCAAACAAACTTGAAATAAAGAGTTTTCGGCTCCACTTTGTGTATGTGTGTGTGTTTTGTTAATATATCCGAGTTTTAGCGCTAAATAAGAAGACATAAGCTGAATTGAAATAAAGACTTTTCAGCTTCACTTTGTGTGTGTGTTTTGTTTATATATCCGAGTGTTAGCGCTAAATAAGATATAGAAAGCCGTTTCTCGCGTTGCTAGGTGATCGCTCTCTTATTCCTATTTTCCTTTTAATAGAAGTTCAAACCGGGCTCAAGTTACTTAACGGGTAAGTCTAGGCAAGTAAATTGTTCCTATTATAGTAGAGAGACGCTCATTAGTAAACCTATCCACTTCATTATATATGGAGGAAGGCACCTAATTAGTATGGAGGAACGCATTTTTACCTAGCTAGCTAGACACTAACTAGGCACATAATTAACATGCAGGAAGGCAGTGACTAGGGACTTAATTAGTATACAGGATTAGGCAATGACTAGGCACTAACGAGGCTTAACTTTGCCAAAATTCGGTCTCTGATGCTCCTGATGAATTTGGCCGGAAATGGAAAGTGCGCCAAAAATTGAAACTTGCGTGATAGGGGACTGGGGCCCAGCAATTTAGGGGATTGGTAATGAGCGAAATCCATCGCCGACGTCCCCGACGATACAAATTTGAGTTTTTATTTGTCGGAAATGATCGCCGACCATCGCAGAAATTTGGGACGCGTTGGTAAAATAGAAACGCTCCCGATTCTCCAGATTTGTCCCCGTCCATCCCAGACGATCGGGGATATCTACGATTTCGAGTTTTCATTAGTCCGCAAAATCTGGGACACTCGGAAAACAGTAGAATCCCCGATCGTTCTGGATTTTCCCGACATATGAAAACCAGGCTTAATTAGACCTATTGTTGTTTTTTCACCGTTCTCTTTTCCTTCGCCGCTTAGCATTACACGATTTTCTATTTTCTTTGAACAAACTATAAATATTAACGAGAGCTCCGTTTTTAGCTCTGGCTAAATCTATATATCTTATATTGACAGTCCAATACAATCCCACCTTAGAAACTTCTGAGCTTGGGTCAATCCGTAAAAGGTCCTCTGTTTCTTGATCTGATTCAGGTGAATAGCCACTGCTGCTTCTTAACACTGCTAACGCACAATGAGGTAAAACTTGTTATCTACCACACTTTCGTAACGAACGCTTAAATTATTTTAGTTTGTTTTCATGTAGTTTCATTAATTATTCAAGTAATAAGCACAAGCTATTTCAGAATTGTACTCACAAACCCAGAGGCACCTGCGTTATTAACATTCAAGACCTACAATAATTAAACTATCCACCCACGGCCACCAAACATTGTTTCGTTCAACCCAGGATGGATCTAGGGAATTCAGTAAAAGAAGATACGTCTTCTAGTCAATTTAACCCAATGTGGACAAATCGTATTGATCAATTTATTTTAGTCTAGTATATACTAAAACAGTGGATAGTGTTTTTCGGGCGCTCTGATTGGCTACTCAATCAGTGAAAATCCCGCACTATTCACTGATTCACCTTCAGTTCCTCCGAGCGAGCGACGCCAAACTCGCGTAGGTTGCGAGCAAAATGCTTTCCCGGTTTGCTGCCGTAACAAACTAAGAAATTTCACAACTAATCAAGCAAGCTATTTCCGAAATACATGAAGAAGTACAAATGTTCAAGGCTCTCTAGGGTGGGGCATCGAAATTTCATTTCCAGAGAGCCCACACCAACAGATTCCAAGGCCAAGTTGTACGTCTTTTCTATATGTTTGATCAGAGCAGACACTTCATCAGCTGTTGCAACCTTGCGATGCTTGATGTACACTTGTATTTGACGTGATAGAATTTCATGAATTATTTCTCCCTGCTCATCATTAAGGTCCTGGTAACAGTGCCTGATAGAAATAATGACTGAAAGGAAAGATAACACCACATAGGATCGAGATATCGTGTTATCGAGATATCGGCAGAATTCTCTCCGGGTCTAATAAAACGCTAAAATTCGGAGGGGCGGTAGGCGGGGGAGATCAAACAGTACTGAAACAGCTCTATCATAAAGCATCTCTGAGATCAAAGGCCCCGTTTAAACGGCCGCAACATTGTTGACCAACAACTCCAACATTGTTGGATGTTACATGTTGCGTCTGTTTGCACACCATGTTGCGTGTTGTTGCGCAAAGTTTGAGACCGGTCAAACTTTTTAGCCAACAACTCCCAACATTTCTTTTGTTCCGTGATCGCCGAAGCGTAGCGCAACAATGTTGGATCCGTTTGCACAACTCTTCCAACATTGTTGGGGCTAGGCACGCTCATTACGCATGGCTTACAAAAACTTATGGGTTGTATCCTTCCCACGATGCACTGCGAGTCCCAACATTGTTGAGAGTCGTTGCATCCGTTCGCACACCACTGCTAACACGCACGCAACAACTCCCAACATTGTTGGCGCAACAATGTTGGGAGTTGTTGCGTCCGTTTGCACGCAGCCTAACAATATCATCGACCCTTCAGAGTCATGCAAGTGGGCAGCAGCAAGAAGAAATTTCCATACCTGGGTCACAGGAAGATCCTGAAATTTTAAGGCTATTACGAAGCTGAGAGCCATCATTTTTGGATTTTTCGGTTATACTTCCTGATACAGAGCCAGCATCAGCTTTCTTTTCAGGGTTACTACCAAGGGAAATTTGGAAAACAAGCTGCTTGTCAGCAAGGGATTCTGTTCTTGGGTTTTTGTTTTCTTCTACAGAGGACCCTGTGAAAACAAGCTTTCGTCATAACAGCAAATTCGGTAAGAAACTTATCATAGGAAATCAGGTTCATGTTCAATGAAGAAATAGCTTTGTGAAACATATTTCAAATCAAAAAAAGGATAACTTCGTTGTGGGAAATTTTTGAAAAATGTTGAAGCTAAGCAACTCTTCTATAATGTTACCACTTTTAAACGCCTGCAAACTCATCTATTCAGGGACGCTTATCGCTTTCAGTGGAATAATATCATTTTATTGTTTAACTTCATAAACTAGTATACAGCTATTTCGGGAAAGGTTGTAGGAAAAACTGTGTACGCGACAATCCCGAAGGGTAATACAGGATACGATCAATACACTGTTCCTGACATTGTAGCTGTCGAAAATACTTTTGTTGCTTTCCTTTGGCACTCACAAACATACGTCCATGGCCTCTTGTACCATTCTTTCAAATTTCGTTGAAGAACTGTACACTCAGTACTACCCACAATACCTTTCGACATTGTTGCGTGCACTTTTTTGACAACCTTTCTCGAAATAGCTATATACAAATTCATGAACACGTGCGATACTCATTTTTTTTAAAATTTTGCCCATTGTGTGTAGTGTGCAGCCCAATTATTACTTTTAGTAATGACGATGATGATGATGATGATGATTATTATTATCACCATCATCGTCATCATTATCATTATCATTGTTATTATTATAATTGCGTCAATAACAAAATGCGTAATTCTGATTGGTTCTGAACAGCCCATATTTATAGAGCTTAAGTTTGCTATTGTAACTCCAAAACTGTGATTTGATCTGTCCGATTACCAGGAGCTTGTAGTCGGACAGGTCAAATCGGACTGTTAAGAACCAATGAAAATTAAGCAGCAAATGCCACTAGCCATTGAAATTTAACTACACAGCACATGACAACCAATCAAAATTAATGAAAAAATAGTGACCAGGTAAGCTATCCAGCTTTAACTGGAAAAGAGAAACGGATGAAACTAACTGGTCCAGTGTTTTTAATTTACATTAATACATTTTCCAAGACCGAGATTCTCACATTGCGTTATTGGCACAATAGAGAGAAGTCGTTACACGTTGCCATGGTAGCAAAATTTTTGGATGACAACAAACTGATAAAGTCACTTAAAAGTCTATTCGCACTATTTCAAACTTCACCGATCTTATTCAATTTCATTTAATTTGGCAAATCTTGGCGAAATTTTCTTTGCAGTCGTATTTATCGTTATCTTAGTTTAGAAAAAGAAAGCGACAATTCTTCTGTTGTGTTCACCTACTCCATAAAGCGGGCTCGGGAAATTAAGAAGTTTCATGTCGCAGTGGTGAAACGACGGCAAAGAAATGTACAAAATAGCGTGACGCACGTGCAAAGTTGTTGTTTGTTAATATAAACATATCATTTTTGTCGATCTCCTTGCTGTCGCCGTCGTCGTTGATTTTGTTGTCATCCAGAAATAGTGCTACTATGGTAACGTGACGTCACACTTCGCCTCTCTATCAATTGGTAATAGGACTTCGTGTCGTACAATTCAGGGGTAATCGGGCTTGTAATTTCAAGTCGGGCTTGTGCTGGGCAATTTGAAATTACTCGCCCGATTACTCCTTGAATTGTACTCCACTCAGTCCTATTACCATAACTTCACGCTCGTGCACCCGTCAGGGACTTCTCCGAGATAAGATCCACAGACCACGTTAACCGAAACGAATGAATCACGCGAAATATTTCTAGACAAGTACAATATTTTACTCCATAAGATTATTTATCACCTATTCACTCGCCGTCCAAAATTTCAACGCGCTTTACCTTCTGTATTTAAAACATTCAGTGAAAGTTATTAAGTTCAAAAAAGGGTAGTACACTGTACCTCAATCGCTCAAAGTACTTTTCAGCGACCCGCAGCCAAGAGCTGGAGAGTTGATTAATAGCCTGCGAACAAGCTCTCCGGGGCACTCCGGAGGCGGGGTTAGAAAACGAAGGAGAGCTTGGAACTACGACTCTTTCTAGTCTGGAATTTGAATATCTGAATCGCAAAAGTCGATGTGAAAAGCTGATTGGCGGAAATGACACTAGTAACTTTTAGAACATGTAGTTAAAGCAAGACCATGTAGTTCGTTATACCTTATTGTGGTACAGCGATGGTCTAAACTTCTCTCAATTGACTAGCCCGTAGCTGTACCACAATAAGGTATAACGAACTACATCATTTTACTATTACCACGTGTTCTAAAAACTTCCTACCATAAACCAGTATTCTAGTGCAATCATACCATAAACCATTTTCCACATCCTCTCCACAAGAGCTTCACATTGTTCGTTCCAACAATAAATCTCTCCATAGGATGCTTTCAGAGCTTTGATCTCTTTTAGCCGCAAAGCATGTCTGACACGAACAGCTTCAATAGCTTTTGCCCACTTTGCAGGATTGTATGAATACACGATGCATGAATAACCATTAGGAACATTCTCTAATGCTTTGGCAATTCCCGATTTACTACCAACAAGAATAGGTAAACCTGCAGACAAGGCCTCAAGTGCGACGAGTCCAAACCCCTCTGATTTTGATGGCATGATGGCAAGATCAACTTCGCAAAGCAAACTTTTTATACTATCTCTGTTTTGTATAAATGTTCTAACAACCAGCTGCTCTTTAGGGATACCACAACGCAGAAGTCGTTTTTTAACTTCTTCTTTTCCTCGCTTTCCTTCAGGGGCACCAACAAAGATCAGTTGATAAGGTTTCTTTTCCAACCGTGGGTCAGTAAATGCTTTAGCAGCGATGCTGTACCCTTTAAGCTCAAAATCTTCCTTATCGCCACGACCAAAAATTAACACTTTAAAATCTGCATTGTTATTGACATCTTGTTCCAAATCCCCAAACTCCCTTTCAAAAAGTCCTGGAGTAAATGAAAGCACATCCATTTCTTTTTTGTATCGTTGTAAATATGAAGAGTAAAATTCTGTCAGGCGGGGTCCAACAGGCATGACAAGATCAGCACGCTTACAAAGGTCAACTTCAACTTGATGTTTTCGTTCACCTTTAGAAGTAGGATTAGTGTAGTCTTTGAATTTTCCAAGGTCTTCTGGGGCAGTATGCACCACTTGTACCCACTTACAATTCTTAAATTCTGCCAATTTTCGTATTCCTTGTACTTGCCGGCCAAGTTTCTTACCATGCCCAATGATGACATCGATGACGAGGTCTGTAGGTGGGAAGTTTAACCATTCAAGGGGATCATACCCTGTTTGTTCCTCTGCTTCAACAATGGCAATTTCATAGCTTCCAGCCTCTCTTTTTTCCTCATCTTTACAAACTCCCTTGGGAACTAACAATGTTACTTCCACTTTGGGATGTTTTGAAAGGTAAATTGCAAGTTCTCTGTTTAATGTTGACAAACCACCTTTTGAGGAATTCCACTCACTTCCCAGAAGGGTAACTTTTAGTACTGGCCTGGCAGAAAAACCGTCACTTTGACCTGGTTCTACTTGTGAAGTGCTTGAGGTGGTGATCTGAGGACAATTTTCAGCCTGCAAAAGACAGATTAAATCACCATCTAAAGCTAACCGAGCCCAAATTTTATTACTTTCATATAATTTACTGTTTGCTGAGAAGTATCACCGCACTGTATTATACCTGTCGAATGGTTTATCCAGTACTGAAGATTCTCAGTTTCTTGGGCTCTCTCGGAACCATAACCGTCTCAAAGTCTTAAATTTTGACACAATGGTTTAAAACATCTTGTAGAACCTAGCGTATTAACTATCTAGTCACCTAGTTACCACTCTATGCCCCTATTATGCCTACACTGAGTCTAGGCTCTAGTTCAAACAAGAACAAAAGAAATGCTGTGTTTTGTGATTGTCTAAGTTTAAAGGGAAAAAACTATTAAGTAAACATTTCTTTCTAAATCTTGTGTAGCTACTAAATATATGGTGAAAAGAAGAATAATTGACAGCTTTTGTGAGGCGTAACGTACTGTGTCGCTACTTGATTTCTGTTTTTCAAATTCCAATTCTTGATCAGAAGAGGCTGCCATGAGGGATGACTGAAAGCAAAAAACAAACAAACATTAATTTTATTAATATTAAATTGTAACTGAGTATCAACAGAAAAAGGCTCTTATGTAAAAGATAATATATAGATTTAGCCAGGGCTAAAAGCAAAGCTCTCGATGATATTTATAGTTTCTTCAAAAAAAATATAAAACCGCGTAATGCTAAGCAGCGAATGCAACGCCGGAGAACGGTGAAAAACATCAATAGGTCTAATTAGCAAAAAAAGCAACTTTGCACATGCAGCAAATTTTTTTGTACATTTCTTTGCCGTTGTTTTGCACGACTACAACGTGAAACTTCAGAGACTGCTTAGAGCCTGTTTACATGGAGGTGGGGAACCCCAGATAGGTGAGGTCACATGCGGCGGGTCACCCCACGTATCATATAAACGTGATCAAATTAAAATGAGAAATTATGTGGACAGGCGGGTTACCCACCAAAGCGGGTTACCTCACCTAACTTGGGTCCCCCACCCCCATGTAAACAGGCCCTTAGTTACACGTTTTATGGAGGAAATGTCGTACGTGTTCTCGTTCCCTTTTTTTTTTTTCACTGCCGCTCATTTTCACCTTGCATTGGTGGCCGTTAGCATTTCTCATTTTGTCACCGCCGCTACAAAATTTTCATGTTGTTCTTCCGACAAAAAAATGTCTCCTTTGTTTTTTATCTCTCGCTCTAGATCTCTGTCACCCTTTTTCTCGTTGAGCTTCGCTAGCCTGCTGCCTACTTTTCCTTGCTCTACGTTCCAAATTTGTGGACATGACAGTTAATCTCAGCTAAATACTTAAGACAACACGGATACATTGAAACAATTTCCGCTTTCCGTTTTCGTCTTTACTAACTCTTTAGTTGTCTCTACTTTACAAGACGCCGGTGGCTACGCGATTTCCTGCCAAAATAACCTCGAATTGTTGCCATACCTGTTGATTGAGTTATTTTACATTGGTATGCCTATGGCGCGGACGGACGGTCGCTCGGGCGGTCGGTCGGTCGGTGTACAGTCACGTGATTACCAAATTTTCTCGGATGGGTAGATTACTTCATTTTCTTACCCATGGTGCTCCGCTGGCGCGCTTCGCGCTCGAGATCTCCGCTGTTAAAGAGAACCTTAAAGTAAGCCCTGTTTTGATATTTCAGTGGCTCTTATTAATAAAGCAACCTCAATTGACTAGAGTTTAGGCTGCTCCAGTATAGAGTTCTATTGATGCACTTGTGGCTGGGCTAAGCTTGTACAGTAGCTTTTTGGTATCAGCATGCTGTCATGGATAGGAGTAGTGATAATTTTGTCATTTCACTGTTACTGATATGTTAGGTCATCAACTAGAAAATAATTTAAAAGGAAAGTGACAGCTTGTTCATGTAAATGGATGAGGTTTTGTATGAAATGGTATTCCACTTCAGTACAAGTAAAAGAACCTGCTAGTGGTTGATGGTAATGTAAAGAAGGATATTAACACTTTAATAGACAGGGTTCTGTTAAAAAAGTTGTAAAGTCAGATGGAGCTTTTATCCAAAACAATAATCATTAGTATTCTCTTACATTAAAAAATGTTGTCACTCTGTCAAAATAGTACGATTTATAATTTTACTGCTTTTTGGTTCTACTAACATTTGAAAACTGAGAAAACTTTGCCTTAAATTTGTAATTTTTAATGAAGCTGTTCGTGTTGCCTCCTTGGGATTATAAGTAACTCTAGAAAAGGAGCTCAGATGGAAGTGTAGATCACTTTGTTTATGGCTACAAAATGACTATGTGTGCCATTTTTACAAAAGAACTGCACCTACGCAGGAGGGGTGGGGGGGGGACTAGATTTTCAGAAGATAATTTATGTCAATTTAAAAAAGAAGAACAACGATAAAAATTTAAAAAAAAAATTGGAGAACTGTTCTCGGGTCTTATCTTTCAACAGATTTATTATTCTATTAAAGCCATCTTCCCTCCCCCTTCTAGATTAGCTTGCCAAGGTGAGGCCACATATACTCACTTTACTGGTCAAAATACTAGCTGCTTGATCTATAGTTAACTTGAGCTTGGATATGGAGCAGCTCTTAATCCCTACATTTAACTAGAACTGGAAAAATTAACAAAAGCATCAAAATTTGAGAGATGCAGATACATTGCAACACACTGAAGTCCATCATTTTAAGCAGGAGTTTAGTCAAAATTATTGAGGAAGATTATTTTAAAAGTATTGCACAATAAAACATTCAACCAAAGAGTTACTTTACTGAAGAATGGCTCTGAGAAAAACCCACATGCACAACGAAAAAAACAAGAATCCCACCTAGCCTCCAGCAGAGACAAACCAGTTGGCTATGCACAAGCAAAGCCAAGGAGTTAAACTGGGGACTACATGGGGGTCAAAAAGAAATCTGAGCTGGCAGTTAGGGTGGGGCAACCCTTAAGGAGCCACATGCTTCCCACTTACAATGTATGAGCAGAGATCAGTTAAGGATTACTTGTTCCAAAATATCAAGTTCATGGCTTACCTTCAGTTTGCATTGTCGATGAACACATTTTGAAAATTCCAAAACAATAATTTTATAAGTTGAAGTCAAAAGTAACTTACAGTATCATGGAAGATCTCTTAGTGGACACTCTCACAAGCGAATGGCTCGACTACCTAACAAAAACCTGTCGCTTTCACAAAACCTTGTCTCAATTCCCAAACAAACTACGTATTTTTACATTCCTATGCCTCTAGCAGTTCCAGGCAGTTTTTGGATTTATTAGTTAGTTATTAGCTTTGTTTTAGGCTCCTTTAAGTGGACAGCTAAATGAAATCTCATTTGCCTTTAAACCTTGTATTTCAATTTAAATCAACTTCCAATCACTGCTCTTCACAATGAATTTATGAATTTATTTTCAGTGTTTCTTCTTGTTTTTTATTTACAAACACATCCCATTACACTTCAGTCAACAGCCACGAGAGATAGCTGTGACTGTGCTTGCATCCTGGGTGTGTCTGCTTATGAGAGCTTTCATTGTAGTTGCAAACCTCTGCTCCACAGAATTGCTTTTTTTTTTTGGAATTTTACTTACTATAAAATTTTTATTATCAATGTTTTCGTTCTTTGGTATACCTTTCATATCAATAAAAAAACACAATTTTTTCATTGGGCACAATTTCTCTTGAAAAACTAGGCTTCACTTTTTTTTTAAAAGATAGATATCATATGTATTATTCATTATACACCAGTCAAATCAAACTCAGACAGGGCAAGATACAATTGATCAATTAGAAATTTACACAGAAGATAAGTAAAACTACAGTTCGACTTCATTCTTGTATGTTAAAGATTCTTTAGCCCTCCTCCCCCACCTATTTATCTTCCCATAACATAAAAGCTATTGTCAAGTTGGCTTTTAAACTTGAGTGTTTGTATGTCATTGAAAAGCACAGTAAACATGAATTACCATTTGGAAGTCTGGAACCCTCAGCCTACTAAACACAACGTTCAGTTGCACTTTGCAGACCAGTTCTACAAAAATTATACTGCTTACATCAACATTTCACCCCAGAACAGCAGGTTCCCTGCATACCGTTAACTTTGGCGGTTCCCGGGCCTCCCCCTTGACTCAATCTGATCAACCCAGGCATGTGATACTACAATCGACATGCATATTACAGAAGAAATGTAGCCCTGTTTTCTCCATGTCGTGAACAGGAAGGCGAAACAACTTTTTTGGAAAGGCTTAATAACTATTTTGTTAAACGGACTAAATACAGTTGATCTACGTCCCTTCCGACTACTACAGCCCCTGGTTTAATGGAATGCCAGCTATTAAAGGCGGAAGTCGAAGATTGCATTGGAAGAGAAGCTCTCTGATCTTGTTATTGACGTCAAAACGAAGTGTTGCGTTTCTTTTATCAATTGGTAGTCAGCATATAATAACATTTGTCTTTAACAGTTATACCGGAACAAGAGCGAATGTTGTTAAATAGACCACATCCAGGCCCGGGCATCCAGGCCGAATCGTTTAGCGGGTTCAGAACCGAAAGTGCAATAGTATCTCCTTCTTCAGGTAATTTTCCCGTGAGGAATACTTACATTTCAGCTCTCAGCTACTCCACTGCGACTTTCTTTCGGTTTTTATCTCCTTTATCCCCTGAAATCAGTAATCAGCTGGTGAATAGCAACAACCTTGTCTGGGTTGACGCCATTTTTATTTGAGCTCCAGTGTATAGAACAGTAGCGAGAAATCTGGGAACAAGTTTCTGTCGTTTTCACTGTCACGCAACAAAAAAATAACTTGGAAACGGTCCAGAAGAAGCCAAGAAAATAAAATGTTATAAAAGAGTGACATATAAACAATTTCTCCAAGTCTCAGGTCTTAATGTGGCCCACAGCTTCTGAGTTATTTGCCGAAACGTTCCACGCACCTTTTTAGATTGGCTTTGTTATTGTATAGCCTGCGAACGGCAGACATATCTCACGTTTTCCTCCTCGCGAAACGTCCGTCAGCGGCGATGAGCGAGGAGAAACGTCTGCCGTTCGCAGGCTAAGCTTTGTATGGAGACGTCATATTGGTGTACCGTTTTGGTACACCAATATGGCCGCCGGAAATCAACAAAAACATCTGGAGTTCACTTTTTCTATAAAAACTCTTTCTTTTTACTCGAGAACTACTAGCATACGTGCACATAAACCCATCTTTTAATACTTGAAATAGTTATGCTGCTGAAAATCAAGAGGAGAGACTTTTTTTTTCAACGAGACAGCATTCCTATTTTGGTGTCACGCACTGTGAAACCTCGGAAGTTCAAATTGCTGTATTTTCTTTGTCTGTCCTTCGTGAAGAGATGAAAGAATAGAATTTCTATGTCGACCAATCAGAGCTCGTGACAAGATTTTGAACAGATTTTACGCCATCAGTATGGAATTTTTGTCCTTGAAGCGTAGAGGTTCCTTCTCTCGAAAGGGCGAAAGTGGCAAAGTGTGAGGAGAGATTGTTGTATTTGCAGGCTATTGATAGTCCTTTTCTTGAATTCTGCGGAGTTCATCATCGAAGTCAAGGTAAAATAGAGAGTAACGTAGTTATGGCATTACTATTCCACGAGTAAACCTGATTTAGCCAGGTAACTCGGGATATTTTTGGTCATTATCGTCTGTACTGTACACTCTTATCGCTCTATGTTAACCTTCATTTTCAGAAATCTGTCAATGCTCTTTTGCTGTTCATGGCATGTGTCTGTCGACTCTTTCTACCTCAAAGAGAAGACGTTCAATGGATCCATCCTCAGAAAGCGAGGAAGATCAAACTGTAGACAGAAAGGTGTCAGCTCCGCTAGATCCCTCGACATTACATATCTCGGAGCATCGACGTGGAGATACTCGCAACTCTTGTTTTGATCTGAACATAGCAACTATACAAGCTTTAAAAGCAAAGGCAGACAAGGCGATGGGAAAAGACTTGTCACAAAAGGAGGAAAATAAGTACGAAAATGAAAGTGATTCAGAGGATGAATATCAAAATGAATACTCGGATAAAGATGATAACTGTACAGATAATGCCAATGAAAATGATATTTCCACATCGGAGTGCAATTCAACAAAACATGTGTTTTCAAATAACCAGAGACCGAGGGCAAACACGGTTTGCGGAGCCAGTCCATCTTCTGAGTCTTCTTCTCAGCGTGCGGTGAGAAAAACATCGCAGATATTAATCAACGTTGGAAATACTTTAACAAATGATTTCGAACCAGTATCGTTTACTTTCAGCACAGAGGAACTGCAGCGAAATATGCGACAAAGTCGTCAAACTACACCCGCAAGAAGTGAGAATCAATTAAATTCAAATAATAACCACGAATTTTCCAGTGAGTTTTCACTGAAACAAGAACATAACCACATTACTGAGTAGCAGAGATTAACTTCACAGATGGATGAATCCATCTTGGAAAATGGCCACCCCGAGGAAAACAAGTTTCCTAAAATTTGCGTCAATGACGAACTTATTTCCACAAGTCTTTCTCCTGTTTCGGTAAAATTAAACAACATTGAGAAACTTGACAGTGAGGGGTTGATTGGGAGAACAACCTTGCCACAGGCTTCATCAAGTTTAAACATTGCTGATGTCAGTAAAATAACCGAGAGTGTCCAGTCCATCACGGTAAACTGGATAACTTAAATGGTGTACAATTCACACCTGGTAACGTGACATGTAGCGTGCGTCGGTCTTCCACTGGTTCAGCACCGTGTTGACTTTGCAAAATTTTGCTAGCTACTTATTACAGAGAGGACGCCACGTAACCATGGTAGCAAAATTTCTGGAACTGAACACTTTTTTTTTACAGAGACTGCCATTTGCAGAACGAGGGAAGAAAATTGTAGGCTACCGTTTTGTTCCTGAGTGCAATCATACACGGGAAAGTACTGCATGTCAAGTTTTTCTCTTTTTAATGCGATATAAATTGCAAGATCATGGTTTGTTGAGATCCAGAAATTTTGCTACCATGGCAACGCCACCTAACGACTTCTCCTCTCTATTATTAAGACATTGCCATCTATCTTTTTAAAAAATATAACTTTTGAAATACCAGTATATACGATTGTGCAGATAGATTGTTATCCACTCAACACCTCTCCTAAGCAGAAACACATAAACACATTTAGCCTCCCTCACGCATAAACAAGGCCTCACGAGATGGCTGAACACAGTTTGATAGGTTATGGATCGTTACCATTCATTAGGGGTGAAACTTAAGACTCGTTGAAAGTGTCAAGTCCAAATTTGGAGTCATTGTTATATTCCAAAATGTAGCTTTTCATACAGAAAAACGCTGAACCTCCTGAAACTTTTGTAAATTTTCACCATGGAGAGTATGCTCAAAGTGTCGAGTTTCCGGTGACCATTTTCATGGAATAAGTGTGGAAGAACGCCAATCCAGAGCGAACTGATGAAGTATTCGTGGTACATATAAGGTCAAAACATATACGTTTTGGACGAGGCCTATTGCTAGACGGGAAGGAAACGGTTCCATTACTTTAAAATCCCTCTTTAAACTGTTTTTTTCGCATGTATGTTTTACGTGCTTGTAAAAAAGGAACGAAAATCACTGACACTCACAAGAACATGGCGTTCATGACGACAAGAATGTGGCACCTTGATTCAACTTAACTCACTGGTTCTTCATGGTGGTTTGAATATGATGACGCGGGTGAAATGCAGCTCAGAACAGGGCCAGGGGTGTAGCTAGCGGGGGGGGGGGGTCCTGGGGTGCCCGTGACCCCCCTTGGTAGGCCTTCTTTTGAGCAAACAACCTACAATATTCAGGTGGCGCAAACGCCATGACAATATCTTGGCCATAAAAGCCATTGTCGAAAAGCCCACTTTTTTAAAATTTGTTTTTTTGTAAAATATTTTCGTCAACGGCTCTTGTCTTTAGTTAATATGGGCCTTCATGCCGCGATAATACGACTGAGCCCGCCCATATACGAGGGAGAGCAGCGGCGCACGGCGTGGAGGTCGACATGACAATCTGGTGAGTAGCCTCTGTGACCCCCCCCCCCCCC